CTTCTGGAGCGCGGACGCGCGACGTGGTGGCGTCGGCAGAGCATGAGCGCCACGCGGCGATCAGTTCCTACGTCGGTCGGCCACGGCGTTCACTGAACGTTTTCTGAAATTTCAGATTCAGAGACCAACGACGATGACTGACAGGCGAACTTAACCGTGATGGATCTCTTAAACCGTGACGATTTAGTGAAAATAATGTATACGAAAGTTGCAGAGCTATAGTAGGGCTACAACTTTGTTTTAGAACTCTACAGCTAATTCACCCTGTATCCTGAGTTGTATCAAGCCAAAGGTGGCTTAATCAAACTGAAATGGCATCAATGACTTAGACAAATTTTTCAGTGTGAAATCAGCATGGAATTCTGACTTGTGGGCCATGTTTGAGCATGTTCTAGCCATTTTCATGAGATGATCATAAAACAACTTTTGTTCCTTGATAAATTAGCTACAACTTTGGTAATGAGTGCACAGCCATGCAAAGTCTCTATGTTGGTCTTTTGAATCAGTCAAACAGTGGCACTCTAGGGGTCATTTCAAGTCAAACCTCCACTCAAGGGCAATTTTGTCATTTTGATCTATATGAACAATGTCCAAACAAATTCCCTAAGTGTAGTTAAGGTGTATTAGACCCTAATTAACCACTCTACCAAGTGCTATACAAATTTCTAATGATCACATGTGATGAAGCAACAAAACGATCAATTCACTCAAATGTTGCAATTCAATGTTTCATATGTTTCATGACTTTGTTGTTATTCTATACTTGTCATATTACTACCATGTTGCCATGTTTCAAGGTATGAGAAATTCATGTTGCATTCACAGGTTACACCATTACTATTCACAACAATCAAGTATGAAATACACACAGTTGAAAATGTTGCATTTGCATGTTTCAGTAACAATGGCATGATGAGATAGATGATGCACATGTTTATGAAATGAAATGCAATTATGTGGAAGCCAAACACCTAGGGTGTTACATAGTTGAAATTCTATTTCTTCAGACCAAGCCAATTCCACTTTTTCCAGATTGGAGTGTTGATGGGATTATTAGAGCTATGAAATACCTAAGCTTCGAGCCTCAGGTTTGTTAGTGGTTTCTTACTGGACACTTTAGCTGTCAGGCTTTCAAAGTTAATAGAGTGAGAAAACGATTATCAATGAACTCATTCAGGAGCAAAAATTTGCTGACTGCTACATTTTAATTTATATGTTGGAGCCCCTTGAACGCTATGGACTTGTAACTGAACATGCTTCCATGTTTAGGAGTCGGTGGAAGAACAGATTTCTGTTGTGAAGTCTAAAGGAAAAGAAGCGTTTGCAAAGGGGGACTACGTTGATGCAGCCTATTCCTATATGCTGGTAAATGCTTGAACCAATGCTATACTTGTTGGAATAATACAAAGTGTTGCACGATAGGTACTTAGTTCTGAAACATCAAGCTCAGGACACATGAAGGGCCTTCACTTTTTTTCTTGTAGCCACTAGCCACTGCTCAAAGAGGCTCTGAGACCCCATGTTGCTGAATGTTACTGCAGGCAATGACAAAAAACCCACACGATGCCACCTTATTCGCCAACCGGAGCCTATGCTGGCTGCGGCTGAGAGAAGGGGAGAGGGCTCTGTCAGATGCTCAGCATTGCAAAACATTGCGCCCACGCTGGGCGAAGGCATGGTACCGTGAGGGCATGGCTCTCAGCTTCCTCAAGGTGAAGCAATGCAACCAAATTTAACCTTGAATCTAGCTAGTTTCTGCTCCTGAATCATCACTCTCGTGGTTGGTATTCTCCATTATTATAATATAGGAGCACAAAGGAGCAGTGTATGCTTTTGAGGAGGCGCTAAAGCCGCCAACCATGACATCAAGAAAGCATTGAGGCACTGCTCTTGTTTCCTTCTATGCTACTTTCTGCTATTTCCCTAGTTGAGTCTATTGTGCATTGGATGGAAGCATGAACATCCAAATCGTGCTTCCTCCCTGTAGCGCCTTTACTTAGATCTGTGAATGGCATTCTTAGGTATCTGATTCCTGAAACTTGCAGGGAGGCCATGGAGTCTACGAAGAATGCTGCTTGCCTTGGAGAACAGGATCCTCAAGTTGCTGCATGTGTTAGATCAGACTAATAATCAATCCTCTATAATATCTATGGGGATTAGCATCAGCGCACTACTGCTAAGATTATTTTAACCTGTTATTGACTCGATCTTTTGTGAAATATCATTTGTTGCCTGGAGTTAACTGGTGCCGTTGGGTCCCTTCCAAGGAAAATTGAGTTGTTTTTCCTTGTAGAGTACTACCACCCATTTGGGTAGCGCACTTGTGGACCAACTGATGACCTGACCAACGGGGACTCATTCGATGAAGTTTCTGTCAGATGTAGATCGTCTTGCAAACAGGCTGATCCAACCTGTATTTTTGGCAAAGCTTCTGACCAAGAGGCTTGCATAGCTGATCCATCCCTGATCATTTTGTGTTTAGGAACCAAATGGGGTAATTCTGTTGTCCATACGCTATGTGGATTTGTTTTGTTATTCCCTGAGCTACTGGATCCAAATGGGATGTGCCTAATGCCTCAAGTATGTCGTGTTTGGTTGATGACTAGAGCTCGTCACATCTTCTGCGCCTAAGTTGGGCTACTGGATATTTTGTGTGCCGCACTTTGTTTTGGCTCCATTTTGTAACAGCATAACTCACCGAAAGACTGGTGAGCCTTTTCTATGCGAGAACTATGGTGTGGCCACACTTAAAGTACTGGGGTAAGATTTTAAACTGAACCAAACATAACATTTTCATTTTGCTCTAAAGCATACTTCCTCCATCTCAAAATATATGTCATTCTCACTTTCCGAGAAGTTAAATACTTTTAACTTTGACGAAATATATATACACACACTACCATGTTGCTGGCTACAAAAATAACTTATTCTGTAGTCACTTTGAGTTACGATAATTACTATGTTAATTTACAAGATTATAGTAACTCTTTACTAAGTGGTTTACTATAACGTTATGGTAAATATCTTCATGTGTTATAGTAACCCAACTATCGTAAATATGTATTGACATTATCGTAAATTAGTATATAAAATTATCGTAAATAGAGGTGGCTACAGAATAACTTATTTTGTAGCTGGCTACTGAATATACTCTCCCTATATATGTATATATATATATATAATATTAATATTTATAATACATAATTAGTATCATTAGGTAGATCGTTGAATGTACTTTCATAATAAACTTAATTGGAGATATAAATGTTGCATGCATTTTCTATAAACCTAGTCAAAGTTGAAAAAATTTGATCTGCACATATCCCATAACCTCTATTTTGGGATGGAGGGAGTAGGGTAGTAAGACGGTCGTTTCACATCTGATGCCACGCGAGCATGCTAGCATAGCAACATCACATAACCAATCTGGGTCCAAACTCCAAATGATTCTAAACTGCAACAAGTAAAGAAATTTTCTTTCACGAGGCTCCAGCGGATGTGTTGTATTACTCCCTCGGTCCCAAAATAACACTCCTATGAATCAAATTTTGTCTCACAAAAATATACACATATAGGTTATCAAATCAACGTACAGCAATACTGAGTACTCCTAACACCCACAGGTTGAGACCACCAGAATAAAAACATTATAAAAAATGAAAGTAAAAAAAAACGGACCAGAGGTGGCTACCTCCCTCCGACCGGACTGCGAAACCTCTCCCATATCAGATGCTCCTTATAGGGTTAGCATTTTGATTTTCCAGCGATATTAGTTTAGTCACCCGAATTCTAGAGGTGCTTTTATTTTGTAACGGAGGGAGTGGGAGGGGGTGTTTGGAGCCCTATGTAGTATTAGCCTAAATGTTTAAACGGACTAAACGATCAACTATCGTTTAGCTATTTATTTGGGCTAAACGATCATTTAAACAAACAAAACGGTGATTAAACATGATAAACGGTTGATTAAATGGACATGGCAAACCACTGTGTAGCGTTTACACGGTGCGTAACGGGCTAAACAACCGTGTAGACGAACAATGGTCCTAGGGTTGCTCTCTCCCGCGATCTTCCATCCTCGATAGTAATAGCGGTGGGGTGAGTAGGGTGGTGGAGCATTGTTAGCCTATTAGCCACCCACGGGTGATGGCCGCATTCTAGAGAGAGCCACTGGTAGGGCAACGGAGGGTGTCTAGTGTGGCAGAAGCCATCACCCTTTAGGAGAAGGAAAGTGTTGTCAAAGGTGTGGCAGAAGCTAGGTGTGGTGGTGGGCGAAGGGCCTACAGACCGCGTTCTTCCCCGCAATTGTGTAAGAGTATGTCCAAAAATACTTTAACTCAACATGCATTCTATAATAAAAGGAAATGTTTATATGCACACAAAAAAGAATCTCCTCCAATGTTACTCTTACCCAACATTTAATTTTAGTAAGAAATCATTCTTCTTCCACCTCAAATTTGAGTCACTCCTCAGTCCAATCGATCTTATATAGAAAATGTGAGGTTTAAATTTATACAAGCTGCTTGGGAAACGATAAGAAACGGATTGGAGGCATTTATTTGCTTGTCACAATTTTCACTCCAACTTATTCAAGTTTGACCAAGTTAACAAGTGCTTGATTGGTAACTAATTTAGGCAAGATTCTTTTGGACTCCGTATGTTATAAATAAAGTAAAAAAATACGTGACTAGATTCTCATAGATATGGTAAAGTGTGGCTCTAAATTTTATACTTACATTTTTTTTAATCACGAAAATTTTATACTTACATAAGGTGAAATGTGATAAAATGGTGGCTTTAGCCCCAGCCCCCATATACATTTGGGTGGACCCTGCTTTATAGAGTTGTCAATGGCTCAATGCAATGGAGACACGAAAAGTTAAAATTTTCCGGTCCGTCTGATAGTCTCTGACTCTCCGGAGCCCGAAAGGCCAAAACCCTAACCCTCTCACGCGCCTAAACCCTTCTCCCCACTGTGTCCCGGCGCCGCCTACGCTGCGGTCATGGCCTTCTGGTTCCCCGAAGCGCTCGTGGCCGCCATGGACGGAGACCTCTGCCTCCTCAAGGGTAACTACCCTCCATCTCCCTCGCTCACGTTTTCTAATGATCCACCTCTGCATCTTCCATTTGCTTTGGTTCGCGGCGCCAAGTTTTCCTAGGTAGCTCGATGTTATTTCTCCTTGATTTGTTGGCTAATTGAGGCAGAGATGTCCATTTCGAGACCATCGGCCCAACAGGGTTTGTCATGGTTATACAATCGCACCAATTATCGGTTTTGATTTCAGTTTTGATTGTTGTTTTTCGGTTCAAATAAAAAAATGTTTAATTTTTGTTTTTGGAAATTTCTCATGTCAGAAATGGCGGACAAGGTGAACCTTCGTGAAACCAAGGACGCTAAGGGGCGGAACGCGCTCCACTGGGCCGCGGTGAACGGCCACCTGGAGGTCTGCAGGTTCCTGGTGGAGGAATCGGGGTTTGATGTCAACTCCGACTCCGAATCAGGTGCGTGTGGCTAGCTGAGATATGATTCTCCCATTGTTGGAAGAGTTAGAGGGCCATGGCCTATCAGTGCGATTCTTTCCCTTTGTAGGCCAGTTGCCGGTCCACAGTGCTGCTGCTGGGAGAAGCGAGAGTGTCCTGAAGTACCTTCTGGACCGTGGCGGCGACCCAGTGAGGCCAGACTTAAGGGGCACGACGCCACTGCACTTTGCGGCGGAGGAAGGTGCATTCTGGCCTTCTGGGCTTATAGAAATGACTTGTGCATCCTGATTCCTGAGTTACTTTGTTGTGTTTGATACTTTGATATGGAGTGCTGATTATTTTATTGTGCCTCCAGGGAATTGCGAGGCTGTAAGACTACTGCTATCCAAGGGTGTTGATGTGGAGCCAGTCAATTTTATGGGGACACCGTTGCACTTGGCTGCCTCCCAGGACCAAGATCAAGTTATGAAGATCCTGCTGGAGCATGGTGCTGATGTAAGTTGTTAGTTTCATCAGTTCCACATTATGTTGGTGCTTATGAATTCGAGTTGCATCTCTGGAAAATTTTGCTTCACTAGTTCACTTGATTGTGAAACGGTTTCTGTTTTGGAAGTGTGGCAGAATACTTGATACTAGCCTTATTTTTCTGGATTGTTTTCCATGCAGCCCAAAAGAGTAGTTAATTATGTCTTTACACCACTCTTGATGGCTTGCAATGGGCCTTCCTTAAAGTGCGCAAAGCTACTGGTTGAGGTCAGTTATTTCTTTACTTAACTCGTCCTTATTATTCAAAGAAATTTGTTTAGGGTAGAATCTTGGCTATGTCATCATGATTCGACTTAACTGTTCTGTCTAGAGCTATCAAAACTTTGTATTGCCAAATCTATAGGCTGGTGCTGATGTGAACTTTAGAAGCCCCTCTGGACCAGTTATTTTAATGGAGGCAGTTGATGATGGCTTCACTGAGATTGTAAAGTTCTTGTTAGACGCTGGAGCTGACCCTAACATTGCAGACGAGGTAATTAGTTCATATTTCAGGGTTCGAATCTCATGGACTCTTGCATATCAGATGACTAGGCATTAATACAAATTTAAGGTTTGTTGGCATTTTATGGAATTTGGATCATTTAAATACCAACAAGCTTGGTACTGTAGATCCTTGTTTAAGTTTATTGTTACAAATTTCCTTCAGACTGAAGTGATTTGGTCAAATATATCATGAATTTTGGCTCTAGGGATAAGTAGCCTGTGTCTAAAATTATGAATATTTTGAAAATTCATTTGGATCAGGTTCTGCATCTCAGAATCATGGTACCAGATCGTCTAGGGCAGACTACTGACATTCCGCTGTTGACATATTAGTCTAGATTCTAGATAAACCTAAGATTTCTGTCAAATTAATTGCTAGCTAGTAGTCTAGGAGTTATTTCCCTAGGTTTCCTTCAAATTCTGTTTTATTTATTTGATAATACCTAGCACTATTACTGCCATTGGAATTAAAGGGTGAAAACTTCTATTGTCGATCCCCTTTTTCATGTTTCATGTTGGCAGTAACAGAGCTAGTTGGTGGACTGGCAGGGGCCACCCCCTCCCCTTGAAATTGAGTTGAATTTTGTTGCAAATTCTGGTATTTGGTCCCAATTATCATGGAGAACTACATTAATTTACTTTGCTGTTTCTAGCTCCATCTCTCAGACTCTGACGGGTTGTATTACTGCTGTGTTTTTCTTTACAATGCAGGATGGGAGAGTCCCAATTATGTGTGCAGGAGCTCATGGGAAACGTGAGCTTGTTGAAATTCTATTTCCTTGGACAAAACCAATTCCATCTATGCCGGAATGGAGTGTTGATGGGATAATTAGAGGCATGAAATATCTGCGTTTTGAGGCTCAGGTATGTATGTAAGTGGCTCCCTATGGGCACCACCCTCTCAGACAAGACTGCAGTAGCTCAATCTAGTTGACTGTAACATTTATCATGTTGGGGAACCCCCTTGAACGTCAATTATGTGCTTGCCATTTGTGTAATTGCACATGCTGTTGCATATAGGGTGCAGTTTTGAAAGAACATATAGCTGATGCAAAGTCAAAAGGAAAGGAAGCTTTTGCAAAGGGGGAGTACTTCGCAGCAGTTTACTTCTATGGTCTGGTAAATGCTTGAACCTATACTTGTTGGTATAATATAATAATGTAACATGAGCAGCCTTGAGGTTGTTTTCTGAACAACGGAGGCTAGAAGATTATGTTGACATATCTATAGACTCTTACATCAGACGGTGGAGCAATTACACTGCATTCTTTATAAATTATAATTGATATAATTGACAAATATGTTATCTTGGATTAAGTCTGTTTTCATACATCAGATGCTAGCTATTTATGGTTTGCTCACACACCAGTGTCAAACTAAGGGAACAGTTCACATTTTGGTACCTGCACTTTTGATTTGGTCTGATTTACTTCCTGTAGTGTAAAAGCAGTTATTTGGAGCCTTAACTTCTCATACTCCACACTGGTTCACATAAGGTGGGCGATGTAGAATGGATTTACTCCAGCTTAATATTTTTGGGAAGTGCTGAGTTCACTTTTTATATTATTAAAAATAGCAAACAACGTTTAAAAAGTACGAAAACATATGGAATGCTTCTAAATTTTGAAAGTATTAAGCTGCCATAACTCCATGCCATGTCGATTAAGACCAACCTCACGATGGTTCTTGACCAGATTTGAACTGATACTGAAATATAAGGTTTTGAAGTCTGGGTAAACTCATGAACTTGATAGTATATGTACTAGCCACGTGCCTGCATTCCAACGGACCTTCAATAAAAGAAAATTCAAGTATAAATTTGAACCAAGAGCCATTGTTCACAAATTTACAATTGGTAAGGCATGTACAAACCAAATGAGTACAACTCTCCAATCTCCATAGAGGATATACTCCATACACACATATGCAAAAGCAATTCATTTCACAGAAAATCTCCGTGTAGAACCAACCAACACCACCACCTCACTCTTGTAAAGAAGTAAAGAAAGTTATTCTTTGTTTTTACTTAAACCAATGCGAGGAGCCAGTTTTATGCTCCACACAACCTGTTAGACACCAGAAAATCCAAAGAACCGAGTTTTCACTGATTGTTAATGCAGGCAGTGGACAGAGATCCACTTGATGCCACCTTGTTTTCCAACATAAGCTTATGTTGGTTGCGGGTGAGAGACGGGAAGCAAGCTCTTTCATTTGCTCAAAAATGCAGGATGATGCATCCTAGGTGGTCTAAGGCATGGTATCGTGAGGGCGCAGCTCTCAGGTTCCTGAAGGTACATTAGTGAGTTAATGGCTACATCAAAATTAGTCTTGTAACCAAATTTAATGCCTCCCCTATGTATCTCACTCCCGTAGCATTTCTCTATGTGCACAGCACTACAGAGGAGCAGTCGATGCGTTCACGCAAGCACTGAAACTTGACCCTGCAAGTAATGAAGTCAAGAATGCGTTGGGGTAAATTCTCATTGTTCCCTAATACTTGCTACATGCAGTTGTTTCCATTATGTCCATTATCCATGGGAAACATGAACAAGTAAATCTTCTTTTTACATACATTGTTATGATACATGAATGGCATTCTTAGGTCTTTGTTGATTCCTGAAAACTTACAGGGAGGCCAAAGATGCTATGAGGAACACTTCTCGCTCGTGAAACCTGTGGAGCTGCTTCGTCTGTTATTAGTTCTCCGTAACTCTATGGGGGCAGCCAGGCAGGGCTTCATATAATGTGTCCACAACGTACTGTTGTAGAGACTTAACGGAGAATGTAGCTGGACTATTGGTTCTTTTGTGATATAAACTGTGGGATGTTTTGTGGCTGCCCGTAAGCCTAGTCATGACTTGTAGCACTGGATTGAACTGGCATTGTACATAATCTAGATGCCTTCCAGGAATTGTAGACTTCATGCAGGATCGTACTGGTTCATTCAAACTGTCATGTCACTGGTGTCAAGCCACCCATTGCCTTTGCTGTGTGTTTGGGAACATGCTTTGTGTCCACAATGTCATTTTGCCCCCACGTTTTAGCAGATGTGCAGTGTCCAACTCAGCGGTACATATAGGGCATATGAGCCTGAGCAACACCCTACCAATATAAAAGCCGGGCTGGCCAGAGCTTGTGGAATCTCAGTTAGAACCTTTTTTTCTTCCTGTCTACCCAGGGTTTCCACACCATCAGCGCGCGGCTGATCAAGTAGAGCGTGCGCCGGCAGCGGCTGCTTCTCCACGAGCACGAGGACCTTGGCGCCAGCGGCGATAAACGGCTCCGCACCACTGGCGGCGACCTTGCTTCCAACTAGTTGTCAGCAGGCCCGGCTTGCGGTGGCGGCTGAGAGTGCGACGACGTCGTCGGTGCCGGCGCCGTCGGGGGAGTGGTGCCTTTTGGGCGTGCCTCGTTGCATAGTTCGAGACCTCGGTTGATGGTGATGGGGAGACCTCGGTTGATGGTGATGGCAGCACCCATGCTTGTGATCCAATCCTCAATCGGTATAATGCTGAAGAATAATGTACGCGAATCAGATGAGTACTACTAAGCTACCGGGTAGCTGATGTGAAGAACTGAGACCAGAACAAGAACACGGAGGGGCTGAGCTGAACTGAAACTGTGTGGCTCGATCGGCGATGGATTGGATCTGTACGTACTTAGATTATATATATATACTCCTATAAGACAATAATTCTCTTTTATCCACGCAACCTGAAGCAAATAAAATGATCTAGTACTACTTTATAAGCTAATTTTGCGTGGGGTCTCGCAAAATTTCCGCTGCCAATTGGTTCAAAATAGGAAAAAAAAAAGAGTTTTAAAGACGAAAGGCTGGAGATGCCGTTCCAAATGTGTGCTATGTGGAAAGGAGGAAAGTATATAGGACATATCTACTTTGGTCTTTGGGTGCTACATGTTGGGGGTTTGTCTCCGTAACATTTTTGGTTATGTAGCCGTCTTTCCCTACTTCGTGTCCAGTTTTTTTTTTTGGTGTAAGTTGGTCCTTCGACAAGTGAAAGGCACCACATTGTTTGTCTTCCTATTATGGTAATGCTCTCGTGCGGGTGTCTGGGACGGACGGACGCGGCTTCCGCACTGGCTACCTTATCCGTCCGCTCACTCCCATCCGCACCCCAAGAGAACTGCTGGTGCCCGGACATCCGATGGGATATGATTCCGTCAGATGGTAACCTGGGCACACTCCCACTGAAACGGCTTAGAAGAACGGCCCATCATAAAAACGCCATCACACGACCCTGGCTTCGGTCGCCAGCCCGCCCGCCCGCGCCTGCCGCTGCGCCGTTTGCTGCTACACGCGCGCGTCTGTCCCTGTTCGCCTCGTTCCGCCCTGCACGCGTACCCCACCCCCGTCCGCCTCGCCTCGCCCCGCGCCCGCCGCTCCTTCCCCCTGATCCCCTCCTCTCTCTCTCTCCGCGCGGGCGGGACACGGGAGCCGGACTCCGTGTGGGCGGGACACAGGAGCCGTAATGAGGACGAGCACGCCCCTTTTGCAGGACCCCAGGCGCGTCGCGCGCCCCATCCGCCGGCACTCGGCTTACCGCGCCCCTTCCCCTAGCGCCCGAGCCATGCCCGCATGACTCTCCGAACATACCTCTGAAACACGAAACACTTGCAACATGAGACACTTGAATGCAACATACGTCCGAAGCAGATGAAACATACACTTGCAACATGTGTGTGAAACATATGGAACAACATGTGTGTGAAACATATGCAACATAAAGATAAAACACTTGCAACTTGCAACATGAAAACACTTATTGCAACGTAAAACTGAAACAGCTGAAACATTTCAAACATACTCTTGCAACAAATGTGTGAAACATGTGCAACATCCAGATAAAAAACGCTTGCAACATACGTCTGAAATAGATGAAACATTTTGAACAGACGCTTAATATGCCTCTGAAACACTTGCAACATAACTTCAGTCCAAGTGCTATTCACTTTCTGACGTTGTTTGTGCTTGCCTTGTTGCTGGTAGCCCCAGCGGTCTGAGAACGGTAAACTTTACTTCTTTCAATATAATCATAGAAATTACGACCTCCTCCAAAATAATATATGGCAGGATATAGCTAGGGAGGAGTCAGCTAGAAGCAAAGCTGGGCATTTTGTAGGCCGAGTCTAGTTCGGGCTAGGGCAAAAAAAAAAGCCTGGTTATCCTGTTCATGGCCGTTCCACTGAACGAGTCAGGCCTACTTTTTTTTTTGGGTTAGGCTCAGGCTGGGTCCGGGCCTGTACGGGCTGCCCGCGTAATTTATTGTGTAAAATAGCTAAAATAAATATTTCGGGCAGCGAGATCTGTGCCCAGGCCCTGTCCACTAAGGTCTATGGGCAAGCTAAAACCCAGCAGGCTTGGGCCGGGCTAGGCTCAATTTGCTCAGGTCTAATTAGAAGCTTGTTAAGATCATGCTACTTTTTCACTAGATCAGGATCATGACTCATGAGATCGTCGATCTGAATACAGAATGAGATCGTCCATCTGAGGCAGCAGCAGTCTGAGCGGTGTGGGGCTGGAGCTAGGCGCAGCATGCAGCTTTGGCCAGGGCTGCAAGCAGACGTGTATTTGGGTTGCATCTAGCCTCTCACGCAAAATGCCTCCTTCGTATGCCTACCCTATTGGAGATAGTCTAATCAGCGCCCAGAGATGCACATTCTTGGCTAGATCATCAGGCAATTGCCCCCACTGCCATACTGTACCTCTGCTTACTGGGGAGGCAAATTCTAAGATGACAATGTACACGACTGCCGAACAAGTAAAACAGCAGAGAAAAATGATTATGGATGAAACTGATGGATCACATTAGAGCTTTAGATGAATCGGGAAGCCTCAAGTGTGCACCCAATTGAATTTGACAAAGGGAGTATCAACACTTCAACTTTACTAGTACTCAGGAACAAGTGCACTTAGGCGTCTGAATACATCTATTACTAGTTCAAACCGTTCACTGATATGCTACCTTCCCAAAGTCATAGGTTCCATAGGTATCTTAGGCTTCGTCCCAAGGGGGCAAAAGATACAACAAGCTCAGATCGAAACTAGTATTTCCAGCAGTGCGTTATGGCTACATATATATCATAGTATGAGGCTATGATGAGCCCCAGCCATAGTGTTATATATAGAGAATTCTTAACGTGAGATAAAGCGCATGGATGCAAAAGCTCATGGGTTCTGTTCTCCGAAGTAGCCAGCATTATTCGTCAGGGAATCAGTGGCCTCCCTACAAAATTTCAAGAATCAAATGTCTAAGACTATGTTCATAGATAGTAACTTGTATGAAAATAGTTGGGAATTTAGATGCTCATTCTCCACTCCGGTGGATAATTAAAAATAAAAAATAGCATGGTGGTGTTCGATAATAGCTTCAGTTAGGGAAATAATTGAAAAACAGCAGTCGACGGAAACAAGAGCATTGCCCTTAAGGCTTTCTTGATCTCATAACTCGCAGGCTCAAGTTTCAATGCTTCCGTGAACGCATTGAGTGCCCTTCGTAGTCCTACACAGTACCACAAAGCGGTGAGATACATTTGGAGATATTAGACAAACTGCAACACTAAGTTTCACACAGCTTTCTTTCCCTGTAGTACAAAGATACGCAGCTCTCCTGCATATTCGAGAAAAAAGTTTCACACAGCTTCTGTACCTTCAGCAAGCTGAGAGCTGCACTATGCCTTTCGACCAACGAGGCCGCATGGTTTTGCATTGCTGAGCATCTAACAGAGCAAGCTCTCCATCTCCCAGCCGCAACCAGCATAAGCTTCTGTTGGAAAACAAGGTAGCATCAAGGGGGTCTTCGAGTATTGCCTGCATTAATAACCAGAAATGTATGGGACCTTAGTTCATCAGGATCTGCAGACAGAACAAATCAATATAGCATGTTTTGTGTACATTATTTAAAGGGTAAAGTACACTTTCCAACCGGTCAAGAAACACCCTCAAACTATCAAAACCGGACAAATTTGGTCCTCGGCTGGTTTCAAAAGCGGTTTTCTATTTTCTGGAGACGCCGAAATTTTATATTATTTTTTGAGCATCTTAACGTTCTCAAATGAAAAAACTCAAAACTACAAAGTTGTAAATCTCATTGAGAGCTACAACTTTGGTGTAAAAAGTATTTTCATTTAACTCCATACAAATAATATATTAGTGCTCTGATGCGGCAAGCGCTAGTAGACGATTATTATGGTGCTGAAATTTTATATTATTTTTTCGAGCATCCTACTGTCCTTAAATGAAAAAAATTAAAACTATAAAGTTGTAGATCTTATCGAGGTCTACAATTTCCATATAAAAATTATCTTCATCCGTCATCGTATTGAAGGGTTTTCTATTTTTTTAAAATTTGCAACATTTTCATTGTTTCAAACAAATATATACTTAAGATTGCTTCGAGTATTCACCTTGTCATAGAAGTTGGTTGCTGCAAGGTAATCCCCTTTTGCAAAAATGCTTCGTTTCCTCGTGGTTTTGCATCAGCTATGGTACGCTCTTTATCCTAAACATAATATCCACGTTCAAAAATATGAAAAA